AGCACACCTATTAAAAATTTATGACGATCGGTGTTTTTCAAATTAAGTTATAGCATTTTTTAAATGTTTCTTCCGGTCTGGGCCCTTCGGTGTGTCGCTGCTGATTCGAGGTCACGCCTATCCTCCTTGGACAATACGGTCCGTACAGTTGTTGAGAACCTCCACCTCGGGTTCGTGCACCGGTGTTTCGGTATCGATGGCGTACAGGGTGGTAAAATGTCGGTAGCTCGTTCGGTTTGGCCGTGTGGGGCTTAGTAGCTGTTGGCATTCGTGACGCGATTCAGCGCTGTACATTTGCCCGACATACCGTTCGTGAGTTTCGCGTTTATTTACTTCACAACAATACAAGTAATTCGGCCGCGTTAACAGCGGAGATAATCAGTATGTCCACGGCCGGTCAAATTTATTATTGATATAAAAAAACTAGAGTTATTATAGGTGCTAATGTTTTTGAAAAGTACCCGCGATACTTTTACTTTATTCCTCTTTTGGTTGGATTATTTTCGGGGAGCCAGTTAATACCTAAACCAAAGTCATCGTTTTGTGATTAAACTTAAAGTTACACTCCTGAAAAGTTGCGAATCATGACAACAAAATAAATCGAATAAAGTCAATGGATTGGTGAAAGAAATTTCGTAATGAGCGTGAAATTATTTTTAAAAAAAATAACACCTCTACGTCCCATACAGTTATAACTAGTATGAACAAAAAACCAATAGTTTAACAATTTTTTTTATAAAAGAGGCATATCTATGATTTGCATCCGCTCTATAACTGTTTATGGGTTGTGTGAGTAAAAATAAATTAAGGAAAGAAACATTAATTATCGTCGAACTTGGGGCGGATAAATATCAATTATCATTTTAGTCCTATCTATCTACAGCACTAGTGAAATGTTTACAAGTGTTGCGAACTGGTTCCATAAATATATTATACAGTGAACTGTATTGTGTTTTTATTATTTTTAATTGTAAGCCGGAGGTTTGTACGTACGCGCACACATCGGACATTACAACTAAAATTACATCAGTCGGTGACCATCTTTATAATTATTGTTTACCTAATCTTTTTTTTTCACTCGTATGACAACCGAGCCCAAACAACAAGTATTGTTTAACAGCACAAAAAATAATTCATAGAAATTAAGGGATGAAATATGAAAAATATTTAATTTCTCCGAGTTTAAGTTCAAAATTAAAAAACAATTCAGTCAGTTTCAACATTAAAAAAATTAATTAAAAATGTGGGAGTTATGTTCACGCATAGATATTTAACAAGATTTCCAACTGCCCCGTGTTAGCAATTAAAGCCAAAAAGTCTGTCATATTTTTTTAAGGTCAAACATTAATTTTGCTATACTTCTTGTACATATTATTTTGTTACCAAAGCAAAAAAAAATTGTTGATATCAAACATTTTTCTTTTGATTACAAAATTATTAGCTTCTCAGTCACACGTCGAACATAACTAATCAATATAGTCATTATTTGACATAGTGTACAGTTAATCGTATGTGTATATTGTTGTATAGTTGAATTACAATGATTAGGGTGGGGCAAGTTAATATCCTTAAACATTAATTAAATCACCTAAAAAAGTATTTCCCAAAAAAAAGTTAAATTCGGTAGAAATACTACTTGATATAAATGTAAAATGTTCATTAATTAATATTAATTATTTTAATAACAGTTAATTTATTTATAAAAAAAGTAAAATTCATCACATTGACCCCCACGCATGGGTCAATATGAATTTTTTTAATGTGAAAAGTTGACATACCTTAGCTAAATTTAGAAAATGCTTAAAAAATTAATTATACATGTATACCCCAACTGAGAAAAAGTCATCTCTTAGCCTCTTAAGAATTTTTGGATGTATTATGCAATTGTTTAACCAAGTAGTTAAAAAAAAAATTGTAGAATCAAAATATTTAAAAGGGGAAATTGACCTGATGATCCCCTATGGTATGCTCGTGGATAATTATTCGGATTATTTTTTTCAATAGCTGAGCTTGTTCAGCTAATTATAAACAAATAATTTGATATATCAATTCCCAAAAAAACCCAATTTGCCCATTTCATTTTTATTCAAAAATCTGGCCCTAGTATTCCTTTAATTTGGATAAAACTTCAAATTTCAAATCATTTTTATTCATGATGTTTTTCTTTAGCTAATACAATAAAAAATAATTTTTGATTTATTTATTCACGTTCAAGTTAAAACTTAACGCTTAAAAACAATAAATTTTATCGTCTTGCAAAAAAGGTGTATGAGCGATTTAAACCAAACAAATGTGTTCATTTCAATTATTTTCGAAAAATTCGTCATTATTTGGTTGAGTTATATTTTTGGTTGAAATATTTAAAAATATTTTCATAAAAAGTTCGCAAACATAACTATATTTGTTTAAATCCAAGAAGAACATAATGCCCCAAGCCTCAACTAATAATTATTGATAATTAAAAATTAAAACAAATTAAATTGTTTATAATTTGAAGTGGTTTTTATTGCGCATAACTATTAATTGTATATATTACTTTTATATGATAATTGCTGATTACTTTTGTATTTTATATTTCGTACATATTTGATATTTATTATATTATTTTAGAATTTTCAGTTTACAACCCCAACTGAATATGTTATTGCTTTAGACATTTAATATATAGGAACTTTTATATGAATAATTTTCTTCATGAAAAAATTCTTCAACATGTATTTAACGAGTAATAATGAAATAAAATTTTGAAGATTATGGTATTCTTTTTCTAAAATAACAAGAATACAAAAAAATAGATATATTAAGAAAATAAAAAAATAATTAAATCTTTCTACATCTTCTATTCAATTAACAATTTATCATATATTGACAATATATAAATATAATAAAATCATAAAGTATTTTTAAACTCTAAATTTTTCATTCCAAATTAATCGATGTCTTCAACTTTATTCGAAGACATAAGTCTTTAAATCAAAATTAAGTCGGGTTAACTCAATGGTATTTATACGATTTATGATATTTTAACTAATTCTTGAACAAAATCGATACAGTAAGATCTGAGATTATAAGTGAATGATCAAAAAATAATAATAATAAATCCATAATAGTAATATAATGTTTTCTCAGCATCGCATCGAAGCTATAATATTAAAATGTTTGCGAATTTTATTTAAATACTATATAATACATCAGTAAAAAACTTTTGAAATCGGTTAAAAATAAATCTAAAATCTGTTGATGTTTAACAGTAGATTAATTTTGAGATAGCCCTTTATTAATGAATAATTTTAATAATACTTGTTTATTTTGCAAAAACGTAAAATGTACACGTTGTAACGTTTTAATTCATATGTTCTAAATACATTTTTAGTTTCAATTTGAAATTGAGAAACCTTCTCAGATTTTGGGGTAACGAATAATCTTTGAAAGATAAAAGAATATAAACAAAGAAGAGAATATAATTATAGGCAATTGAAAATAAAATAATTTGTTTTGAGGTTTAAAGAAAATTATATGAGATAAGATTAACTAGAGTGTTAAATGTAATGGGGAATCATAGTTAAATATAGACTAGAGCCGGTTACAAATATTTCGGGATGGATAAATGGAAAAATAATAGATTGTCAATGAATTTAATATAACGAGAGCGAACATTCTAATTCGTTTAATTCTGTGGTTTTTTCCCAAAAGCCAATATGCCAAAAACATAGGTTTTTTGGGAATTTTTTTTAATTTGTATAGAGGAGAATGTTATCATTCGTGTACAAACAAATACGAATCAATTTTATTGAAATGGTTGACACATTAAAAATGTCGATTTGCATTAGACCTCATTAATAAAAATTATTTTTTATAGCTATCTTGAAAAATTTATAAAATCGATATAACAAATTTTGATAAACAGGCACAGATTTATTTTTTTCATTTATTTAAATTATAAGTGATGTAGAATTTTAGGAACTTACCAACTAAATAATACTTAAAAAATCAATGATGTCATTAAGTTATAATTTTACATGGGTGGATGTAGCTAAACATTTTTATACCTAGTTATCATTAAATCAATCAATTTATTTTTTTTTCCAGTTTTGCCCGTAGCATAACACCAAAAATATAAAATTTAGAGGAAAATAATTGACAATATTACTATTTATTTACAAATTCATTTTGTTGTGGCTATTTAACTGAAAACTTTTACCCAAATTATTGAAATTTTTCCATCTTAATATTTAGTAATTTCTATTCAAAGTGTTGTAAAAATTAGGAAAATATGAAGTATTATGATTATGTCATGAATATTATTTTTGGTATTTGATGATATTAAAATGAATAAACTTAATGAATAGTAAAGTTTATATCCTTTACTAATGAAATATATTGTTTGACAATTTATTAAAACTGCTCATAATTGTTCGAGTTTAAATATAACAATGAGGATGTTAAAGTCCCTTTAGCCTTGAATTTTGTACGTCTTTGTTACAGATAAAAGCCCGTTTGAAGCAATATTAAAAATATTCTTAGTGTAAAAAATGTGTGTCTTAAATGATATTGGAAAATGTTTTTTATAATATAATTTTTTATTTTATTTTATTATTATTTTAAAAGCGCGAGTGAAGCCATCGCCTTTGATAAAATTTTGTCTCAATATAGTATTGATTTATAAATAAAATCAATTATAATAAGGAAACTAATTTTTATTTACTATTGGTATTTGTTATTAAAAATGACTACACCCTTACTTTGATGTATTTTGTTGGGGTTTGTTTTTAGTCTTGAATATAAAAATATTTTTCTAATTTGCGAACAAATAGTTTATTTACAAGAAAATTTTCTGAAATTTATATTTTAAGGTAAACAAATAATATATTTTGCATTATTAATCTACAAAAAAATGTCTAAAACGTCTAAAAATAAAATTGTTTTTAAAAACAACATATGGTTTGCCCGATTTTGACAAATATTATTCAGATTATCAAGACTTTGAAATCATATAAAAAGGGATTGTTTTACAAGTTAGTATCATATCAATTCCAATATCTTACTGGTTGAAGAATATTGTAATACAAACAATTCATTGTTAAATTTTTTTTGAAGCTCATTCTTTAATAATGGCTTTTAAATATTTTCTTGTAGTATGTTTGTCATACTATTTGGTCGTCTCAAACGTAAGTAATTTTTAATACATTTATTCTATTATTTAAATTTTATTGAAACTTTAAAATTATATATAAATATTTTTAATTTATAAAATTTTAATGATAACTAATTTGATAACCTTATAGGTAAATTTATATAAAAGAATATGTAAAAATCATTAATCCACTTAGAGATATCTTAAATATTTATACTTACAAAAACATTATTACCTATTCATTCATTAGTATATATGTGGGTTAATTTTTTTTTTTTAGTCGTCTAGATAAATTTTATAATTATAAAATTTATAATTACAGTCTTTGTAAATAAATTATTTGATTTTCAAATTGATTTTTATGTCAAGAGAATAAATAATAGTTTTCAGTGTAGTATTTTAGATCGGGTTTTTCTTTCTAATGTCAACTTATAAAATTAATAAACGAACATATAAATTAATTTCTTACTTAAAAGCAAGAAAGAGAGAGGACGCTAAGTGACTATAGAAATACTAATATATGGTGTCAATTAAAATTATTTTTAACGATATTCTAATTTAACCTATTATTTTAAGTATATTTGGTTATCATATTAATTATACTAAATTGATTAATATTATTAATTATATTTCAATAAATAATTTTGTTATAAATTTAATTTTCGAACATTACAATTAAGTCTTACTATCAGTAATCTAAAATTAAAACCATCATAAGGGGTACACATAAATAGGACACAATAAGACAAAAATAATACATTTATGTTTTATAAATTAATCATATTAAAAATATGATAAACCGTCTTTGCATATTTTTACAAATTTGTATTTTATGAATCAAAATATCTTTTTCAGTATTTTCAATTGTTTAAAAAAAATTTTATTTTAGTTTATAATCTCAAAAGTTAAAATAATAGAGTGTTATCAGATTTTTTATTACATTTTTCGAGATTTTCTCAGGTTTAGTTTTATATTTTATAAATATTTAAGGAATTATTTATGTGAAAAAAATCTCTTTAAATTATTCGATACTTACTATTTTGCTTTGAAATAGTTCAACTATGTTACGAGTAATTGTTATTTAAGTGTTACTACTACATAGTAAAAATATATCGCGGGGCTATGTTTTTTAATGAATTTTACAATATGAAAACTTCAATTTTATTATATAAATTTAACAAAATGATACATTTCTAACAATTTTATGTTAATAATTATTAATTGAGGAAAGTTTCAAGATAAAGTTTTTAATATTGAATAATATCTTGGTTGAAGTTATTAAACAGAAATTTACACATAAATTACTTTACTTTTTATAAGTTTATGTACATTACAAACTATGGAATTTTTTTAGGCAACTGATTACAGCTCTCATTTTTAACATTGCAGTACAGCGTAAATTTATAAACAGTATAATTTTTCTATTATAATTGGACAACTGTCCTTATGAGTACAAATGGAAAAGAAAAGTTTTATCTAAGAAATAGCTAAAATATCTAATTTTTTATTTATGTTTTAACCTTTTGATTGTATGTATTTCGTTTAACATTACTCAAATGAATTAATTTTTACAGAAGTTTATAAAGGAATAAGTGATTAAAAATACTAAAAAAGTCATTTTTGAAAAAACGTGATAAAAAACATTTTAGTTTTCGTGTACGAAATAAAAAATTAAGTTTTTAAAACCGCTATATTATAAATAAACTCCGAAAATATTCAATAATATTTTATTTGAATGAATTTTTATCTTAAATAAAAAACAAATTCTATGTATTGTGTATAACATATTTATTGTTAATTATAGGTAAATTGTGAAAGAGGAGATTGTGCTACAGTTACTACTGGTTTTGGCCCTATGAAATATATGAAGGTAGGAACAGGTTCAACAATTTTGGTTTTACTGGACGGAACATTAGGTAATTTTTTTTATTTAATAAAATATAATTTTCAAATTAATCGTAATGATGATTATCAAATTTTCAATTCTTTATCAAATGTGTTAAGTAAATCATATAGCACGACGGTGATAGGGTTAGAGGCAGGATTTTGGAAAAAGTACTTAGTCCAAACGAAAATCGCATCCTTTTCACGCAAATCTATTAAGTTTAATCTCATAAATATACGATGCAATTTCGAAAATTTTCGATAGGGGGACTCCTTAAGACCCTTTGAATACTAACCTAACATTGTATTACTTAATTTTTTACACAGGTGACATTGTTGCCGATAACTTTGAAAGAATCTACAATGACTTTGATCATTCTAAATATACGATCTATCAAGTAGACTTGCCTGGATACGGAGGAAGCCGTACATTGGTAGCACCAAAAAAATATTCAAATAGAGATTTCCCTCCGGAATTTTTTGAAAGAGATGCAGATGCTGTTATTCAAACCATGATAGTGAATATCAATTATGTTTAAAATTTCAATTTTCTCTTATGTAATATGGGTTTTTTTTTTAGGAATTGAATGTAGAAAAATACTCAGTTTTAGGGTGGGGTTACGGTGGTACTGTTGCAATGTTCGTTGCATCTAGAGCACCAGATAATGTGGTTAAATGCGTCTCGTGGGCTGCTAAACCATTTTCATCGAAAACATTAGTTGCAAAAGAAAAACAAAGGTTAAAAGTACCTGTTAAAGACTGGTTGCCAGAAGTATTGGGTAAACAAACATTGAGTCACAGTATTGAAAATATAGAAGAAGCTTTTAAAGGTTTAACTGAAGCGTGGGAAAGTTTGCTCAACTCAGATAATGCATCGCCAAAACAATGTTTATCGAAACTTTCTACACCAACTCTTATATTGTATGGAAAGAATGACCCATATGCAGACTCTAACTTAATACAAGAAATAAGAAACTATGCAAAAAACACTGCGTAAATATATGTCGTTTTTATTAATTCTTTACTATTAAATATTTGAAATGAAAGTAAAACTGGATTTTTGGTTACTATACGTTTAAAAAAGATATATAAGAAAATGATATAACTCTATAATATTGTAGAATTAATTTTTTTATGGAAATTAAAAATTTTCAAGAAAACGAGCGTCTTATCTTTAATAAATCATTTTGTGTGGACTTCATAAAAAAAATTGTTCAAGTGTTTGTTCTAATTATTTGATTTTGAATTAATTAATTCATTTATTTCAATATATATTTAGAATTTTGTTTTTATACATGATATTAGTACAAAGACAGCATTGAATAAAGCCCAATATTAGTGATAGCCAAAATCCCTTTTTTTTTTAAATTTGGAATTCTTTAATATTTTTTTAAATGCTTATTTTTTGTCAGCAATTTTTTTATCATATTTTTTTAATACAACGTTAAAAGATTATTAAATATTTTCAGTATTCAATTTTAAGAGTTTTTTCTAGATAATACAAATTATTGTAATTAATACATTTTGGAATTTTTCATCAGTACAATATATATATAAATTAAAAATGAACGCTTCCATACAAATTTCTTTTAAATTTAAAAAAAAACGTTATAAACCAAATTTACAAATAATTATTTAATTATAATTATATAATTGTTGTATAATAATAATTTCAAAAGTAAAAAAATAATATTTTTATAATAAATTATAAAATACATATTATATAGTTTACAATATTAAAAAAATTAAGATTTGCTTATAATGTTTTTTAAATAATTTCACAATTATAATTGTCTGATTTAATTAAAAAAGAATAATATTCTTTCAGTGTTATTTTATTTGTTACCAAAAAACACGCTCTTCATAAACTCGATAAGTTCGCCCCAGCTGTCAAAGATTTCTTAGATAGTAATGATTACAAAATGGGCGGCGATGTGGTAGAAATTGATTGCACTGATCAAGACGAAAGGGAGGAAGAAGAAAAACAGAAAAAACGAGAAGAACAGAAAAAACTAGAAGAACAACAGGCTGGAAGTAGTAAATAAGAGGGATATAAAAGTCTCCTTAATATTGTGTAATAATTATTATTACATAAAAGTTTTATTCAGTCATTAATAAAACAATAATATTGTAATCCAAATATTTTTAAATGAATAATTTATTTTAAAATATGCAATTTTTTAATACATTTTATTGTAAAATCTTACATATAATTTTTAACAATATATTTCATTACTATTGTACTCTCTGTTTTATAAATAGCACAAAATTTTGTTCTTTAATAAATTAGTTATGCACATGAAAATTTATTTATTTATTTAATCCTTTTTTTTTTTTATAAGATTTTTAGGTTTATAAATTTGGTTTTGTTACTTCTACATATTTTTCGTTGGAGACAATAAAACTTACTGAAAAAATTAGTAAGAATTAGTGGTCAAAGAAAGCACCATGAAATATTTTATTTGTTCTTCTTTAAAGATAACGGGCTTGGTATTGTAACTATTTTAAAGTTTTATTTCATAATATGGTGATTTCATTTTTTTTATTATTAAATGGTGTCTTATGGCAATAGAAACGATAGTTTTATCAAAAGCACAAAAGCTAATTTTTTTCACAATCATGATAAATTTCCTTTTATTTCATTAGCCCATTGGAATTTTGAATAGATCATATACTATCAACAGTTGTTGATCTCAGGTGAATTCGATAGTAGGGATTATAATGTTGAATGGGACACAATTGTAGTAATTAACGCGAAGTATACATTTGTGTCCCTAAAAATTCGTGTTATCAATTTGGCCCCAAGGTATTCCGGTTCAGCCTCTCGACATCCAAATAGAATACAAGAGATTCCACCCATCTTGCCGCCATGTACAATGTCCTTTACAATGTCTATTCTTACCAAAAAATTGATATGACGTCTTACAAGTAACATTTACACGAGGATAACATTCCAACTAAAAGTCCACTTTTTACCTAGGCAGATAGTTTTATACCAGAATAAAAGCAACGATAATAATAAAAGAAATTCTACGCAATTAATGATTTTAATCAATGTATAAAATAATCACTCAAAAACCTAAAAGATTTAACAATTTAATGCAATTACTGGTGGCGAAGAGTGAAGAGTTGCTGCTATTTTTATCACTGGTCGTCTCCCGGCCGTACTCTAAGTCCCGCCCACGAATAAAAATGAGAATAACATCCAAAGTACGGGTTCAAAAGTTATTATCAACCAATTTTTTTCGTAATTCTATAATTTGCTATTTTAAAAGTTAATTAAATGCGTATCTTACCATTTTTATTAAATTAAGTTAAAACCCCTATACGTCGTTATAAACGATCATCCTAAAAAGTAATTAATAGCTCGCAAATCAAAAAATGCTCTGCTCAAGTAGTTATAGTATTTAAGTTAAATAGTGATATATGTAACTAAAAAAAGCAATTTTTTTTTTCAATATTATATTTATTCCGGGATTAATCAAATGGTTTATGATAAACCGATCATTCTGTACGCGGAGATCCGCCTACTACATAAACGTGTTGAAACGTTTTATCTACGTGTTCTGTTCAAATTTATAATACTTAATTTATATCACTAATTATTTGAAAACTGTAACGTGACGAAAAGACTTCCCTGATTTATTTTGTATATTTGTAAATGTTTTACTTTTGTTCGCCGACTGCGTGTTGCGACGGTGAAAAATTATTTATTTATTATCTACAGTAGAAATGGTAAGGCGTTTTGATCTTTTTGTGCGAGATAGTCAACTGGGTACTACTTCGGACCGGTTCGTGGATAGCATTTGTGTGTATACTCACCCCACTCTTTTCCCCTCTTGAACGCCATATGCACTGCTTACCAATTACATTGTCACCTATTGATAAATCTTAAGTCACATTTTTCTTTGTAACTTCCGGCACTAATTCTTTTCTATTATTCTTGTTTTAAAAAAAATATATTAAATTTTCTTCATTATTTCATTGTCTATTTTTTTATTTAAAAATCCTAACCGCAGTCCTTTAATATATTTTCTCGCCCAATTGGGACCCAATCTTTTATTTTTTTTTATAACACCACGAAAGTTACGAAATTTATCAGTTGTGGCCAAAGTTGATTTATTCATATTTTTGTGACCTTTTAAAACATAACACGATTTTTCTCAAACAATCATCTTACTCAGTTTTATTTTATGAACATCTACTACGAATATGTATTACCTATCATAACAGTCACTTTAGGAACTAATTAAATTAAATAAAGAAATTAATATAACTCTTAGGATCACAGTTGATATTGTATTGTTACGAATACCTTTGCAAAGGATTAAACTGATAAAAAAAGAAGTCGGTTACATTGATTACGGTTGATAACACGAAGATTATGATCGCTGTTGAAGATTAACTATGTTAAAATGGAAATTTAATATAACACCTTATCATGGTTGGCAACGTAATGTTATGAGCACTGTTGAAAATCTATTTATATAATTAATAAAAAGTACGGCCTCGCTACCATAGTCGTTTATCTTTTCTTTTGTTATGTTATGACCAAAAGATTATATATTATAATGTTCGCAATAATTACACTGTCTGCTAGATCAACATTATTTTATTCATCGCATCATTGGGCGAATTCATGGAACATCGTAACGATCGGTACATTTAAGGTTGTTTAGAAGTGAAAGGCACAATAATATTTAGAATTATTAAATATAATAAAATAATATAAATTCCTAATGAAAATATTTCTGTAAAAATGAAAATAACTAAAACTTATTTTGGGTAAAAATATTATAAATCATTTAAAAACAATAGACAACATTTAGGATGATATGGAAAAAATAAAGTCCTAGGGAAAAATATGAGAAAATACCTATTTTTTGTGAAATTTGCCAATTTTTATATCATCAAATATTTTGTACTTCATTTGCAATGAAGTAGTGTTTATAGAAAAGGTAAATTGGAAGGTTCTAGAGTTGTTACGTTTTAAATGTGTTTAAAACACCAAAAGTGTTCATATTTACGTTGGTTTTATGGGACGCTTTATACTGCGTACTTGTATTTTAAATAGATTTTTTTAAACGCGTGTTTTAACTACCCTCGATGGCTAAGGCTGTACTATAACAAAAAAACACCGTCCATCCGAAAAAAAATTTACCAAGCTTTCTTGAAGCTTATTCACACCGAACAGTCTTGTATATAGAGTGTTCAATAAGTAAGGAAAAGGGTCCTATTGTTTTCAAAATAGTGGTATTAATTACAATAAGATATCAATCTACACTGGTTTCATATTCTATGACCGGGTCCGAACTACTGAGTTTATTATTATTATATTTTCAATAGAATTTATTATAGACGTTGTTAAAGTTGAATCTGATTTTCATAGAGACATAAACAATAAGTTTGTAAATTTTAAGGGCAGGATTAAAGTAGCGTATCAACCAATTTTTTAATTTTTAGGTGAGCAATATTAAAAATGTTCATTTTCCATTTAATCTAATGAAATAATAAAAATATATAACATAATTAATGATATACCATTTTCTAATAGAAAATATTTATATATTGTTTGAAATAGGCTAATAATAAAAAAAATCTCAACTTTGATTTATACGTTCCTTTAATTCTAAGCTCTTGACTTAAGCAAAGTGATTTGCAAATTATATCATGAAAATATTTTCATTTCAATAATTTTAATTTGAAATTTCCACTAAAAAAAAAAAAAAAACTGCAACATTTTCAATCAATAATAATTATAATACCATCAAATTATAAAAAAAATCATATTAATGTTTACAGTAAAACCAAACATAATTTATGCAACAATAAAAATCTATTACATAAAGTCAATTGAAAAGTTTAACATTATATTAGTCGGAGTAATAAATTTGCATATTAATAATAATAATAATAATAATATAATAGTACATTAATTTTTTTAAATTTTTATAAAGACTACCCAAACAACATTTTTTTTAGAAATAATGTTATAAAAAACCTTTAATGAGATTTATAAAGTCTTCATCATTATGGAGAGAATGACTAGCATTTTGTAAAGTCTCAATTCTAAAAAAAGAAAATTTTGTTAATACTATTTCGAAATTGTTTGCATAAAACTTAACATAAGATTAGTACTGAAAGGTATGATAATGATATCACAAAAATTATAATTGCCAATGTGATTTCGTAACGATCATTTTCTCATCAGTTATTTATTTATTAAAAGGAATTATAATAATTATTTAATTAATGAAAGTTTTTCTTTGTATAATCGACTATTATTTATAATTTATATCAGCAATCCCCACTGTTCTAGTATTTTTAAAAGTCTAAACATAAATTTTGCACATTTTTAATGGCCCGCATACTAAAGAGGGCGATCCCGTCAAGTGGGTACAACTTATTTAAGACATTAATATTATGCAGTGCTTTCTGTAAAATAAAAATGATTAGCAAATATTTATAAGCTAGAACAGGTCTACTTAATGACTTTAATAATTTTTGGTTATTAATAACTACTTATGATTTTACATTTTTTCTAGATATCTAGATCATTTCTAGATTTATTATTTTTATTTTTTTTTTTTTACTACAAAAATAAATAAAAGTTCACTTAACATTTTTTTGGAGATATAGCCATTTTATAGAGTAATTTCAAAAAATAATTTGAACACCAAAAACTCTTAATTAAGTTCAGTTGATATATTTCTGCAGTACATGTTAAAATAAAAACTGTTTATTCTATTATATAAAATATTGATCTAGCTTGTAAAAATCCAGCACATGGGAGTCGCGGCACAGTGATGATGTGGCATAGTTGGGTCAAGTTTAATGATATCTGACAGTGATTACAATGACTGATTAAAATAAAAAAAAAACACATCACAGTAAAAATAATTCCTTTTCAGCTTCGCATCGAAGCTAAAAAGAGATATGAGTGATTGTTCATTTCCTATTGCCAATTTAATTACACTACTGAATTTTTTCATAACAATCATTAATGCTTAGGAAAACCTAATCTAAAATGATTAAATACACGTACTAATCTAACCGTAAAAAGCCGTAATGTCATCAAGTATAATATAACTTTACATATTATGACACAGTGATCTGAAACACTCTGTATAATTATATGTTATGCCCATTATTAGGATCGGTCTAGGTATTTTGTCGCATAGGAAAAAATCATTGATTTAATAGATATTTTTAATGAAGACATCTAAAATATTTTAAATGCTACCCCGAGCAGTCGCCCAGCTAGTCGCTGCATATTATGTATATTAATATATAAATTTCTTTTGAAATTAATTCAATCTCACCGTGCCGATGTTATGATTTTTTGTATTTCTAATGGCTGCTCCAATTTTACATAATTGTCTTTGATACCGTGTATCAGCAACGTCGGAACTGTAATTTTTGAAAAATATTGTGTAAGGTTACCACTTTTCTCATTAAGTAATAGTCTAAAACCATCAGCTAAATTTTTATGACATTCAATAATGTAATCTCGCGTGTGATTCTTAAGTTGTTTAATTAATTCTGGCGTATCCCAATTCTGTATATTACTCCTAGACATTGCTTGTTTAATAATTTCTTCCGAAATAAATGGTTTGGCACCCCATTCAACAACTTTTATTATTTCTTTGGGGAACATACCCGCAAGTACCAGAGCAACAGTTCCTCCGTAGCCCCAGCCCGCAACAGAGTATTCTTTTTCATTTAAAGCCTGAAAAATCGCCGTTATAATATACAATTAATTTAACTAATAGAAAGAACGTTACTTCCATAACTTCATGGAGAAAACGTGCATCTTTTTCAAAAAAAAACTTATCAGTGTAGTTTCTTTTCTCATATTGATTTCTTCCATAACCAAGTAAGTCTACTTGTATGACTTTAAATTTATTTTCGTCAATATTATTATAAATGTTCAAAAAATTATTGGCAGCTATGTCACCTAAAAATAAAAATATTTCGCACATTATCTATTGATTTAATGGAAAAATTCATCCACTCGAGTACGTGATATATAATAAATGTTACTTGTAGTATAATATTTTAATCTATAAAAAGTTAAAACTTTTTTTTCGAGAATTGTACATGTTTTTTTAAATTCTATACTAAAAATTTGTAGAATTACAAACTGTTTATTTATTTATCTACCGGCACATTTTAGCTTCGATGCGAAGCGGAGAAGGTATTAATTTTACTATGATGTGTTTTTTTTTTTTTTTTTTTTTTTTTTTTTTTTTTTTTTTTTTCCCTTTTTTTTTTTTTTTTTTTTTTTTTTTTTTTTTTTTTTTTTTTTTTTTTTTTTTTTTTTTTATGTCTGTTGCCACTTTTTCTCAGCTCTCACTGGACCGATTTCTTTCAAAAATACGTCAAAAGATCACAAATCGTATCTAGTTGAAGACATTACCCTTAAAAATTGAAAAAAATTCCCTCGTTCCCCGCAAATGGGGGAAATATCCAAAAAAATTACAAATTTAGAAATCGCTAATTTTCGAAATTTTTTCACTTTTTTTTCTTAAAACTTCCATAACTTTTTGAAAAATCAACAAATCAACATAATTTTTTTTTATACTAAAACCTTAGATATTTACCTTTCATTTGATATCATTTTTTTGAAAATCTATCACTTAACCTGCTCATTGGGGGGGATTTAAAATGGCAACTTTTTTACAAAAATTAATTTTTTCAACTTAATTTTTGAAAATGTTCCGGAAAGACTGCGTCCTTTAAACATATATCAAATTAAAGCTTATTTTATGTACTACAAAATGAAAAAAAAAAATTTGTCCCGACACTTTTTTTTCTACATTTAAACGGCTGCCGTAGTTAAAAAAACACTATTTTTGTGTTAAAATTTTCGATTTTCGATTTTAAATTTTCAACTTAAAAATGCTATAACTTTTTGAAAAATGTATATATCAGCACAAATTTTTTTTTTCTAAATACATTATAAGTACATCTTTCATTTGACATACTTTTTATTAAAATTGGACAATTTCCCCTTATATAGGGGGCGTTCAAAACTTAAAATATTGTAAAAAACATAGATCTTTTTCAACTGAACTTTTGAAAATGTTCCGGAAATACTGCGTCCTTTAAACATATATCAAATCAAAGGTTATGTTATATACTATCAAATGAAAAAAAAAAATTTGTCCCGACATCTTATCTTCTATGTGCAAATGTTTGTCGAAAATTCTAAAAAAAATGTAATGTTTGCGATAAAAATTACATTTTATCGGGATGTTTTTTGTACTTAAAACTGCCATAACTTTTTCAAAAATGAACAAATAAAAATAATATTTTTTTGTATTGAAACCTTAGATATTTCCCTTTCATTTGATATAATTTTTTTTGAAAATCTAACACTTATTCTGCTCACTGGGAGGATTTAAAATAGTAACTTTTTTACAAAAAATAACTTTTTCAACTTAATTTTTGAAAATGTTCCGGAAATACTGCGTCCTTTAAACATATATAAAATTAAAGCTTATTTTATGTACTACAAAATGAAAAAAAAAAATTTGTTCCGACGATCTATCTTCTATACGCAAATGGCTACCATATTGAAAAATATACTATTTTTGTATGATAATTATGGGTTTTGTATTTTATTTTAATAGAAGTTGATGTTGCTTTTGCAATTATCCATCAATTTTTTAAAATTAAACACTATCTACAGATTTGCATCGAAGCGTTTCTTATGATAGTGATTTTAATCACTGTCAGATTAAATCTATACTGGACCCTACTATGCAATGTCTCCACTATGCCACGACCCCACTGTGCTACCGTTTTTTTTTTTTATTATTGTATATTTTATCAATTAATTTGTAAAAATGTTATTTATTTGATTAAATTTTGACCTAAATATATAATACCCAGGAAATTTTCTCTCCTTTTAGCCTTATGTAAATATTTTTTTAAAAAAAAATAATTACCTAATGTTCCATCTATCAGCAGTAATGTATGCTCTCCATGGCCTTCAGTTCGGTAATGAATTTCTCGTCCAGAAATAATAACTTTTTTCTGAATACAGTTTATCTACAAAAATATAGATTTTCGAGACGAATATTTAGAAGTATATTTTATAACGTGTTGTAATAATATTATATTCGGCGAGTATCTAATATAAAGGTTTAATTATGCAAAATAAGTTTTGATTAAAAATTGATTATATAATGAAGTCGTATTATTTCAAATTTGAATTGTTTTCGTAAAAATTATATTGACTATAAAACGCGTAGTGTAAAACACAGTGCAATTTATACAAGGAATCGACGTTGGATTACTTAAAACATTTTTACGTGACATAAGGTTTAAGGCAAGTACAAATTTAATTTATGCTTTCAAACCACTAATAATAATAATAAAACCAGTAATAAACCACTAAGACAAATTATGCAATTTTAAGGGATATTTAACATCATTTTCTAAATATTGTTCACTACACAATCTTATACTCTATTCCAATTTAATACCTCTTACCAATCTTGTCTACTTTAAACTATTTATCTTATTAATTTTTACCATCAATTTAAATTATCAACTTTCCATACAGTTTTTAAAAATTTTCTTTTTTTTTTGTTTATTAAATAATATAAAATTACAATTATCATCCCTAAATATGACAGGAAAATTATATAAAATTAAAAATAATTAATTATTCAATTTGAATGTAGTATATGTCAGTAGGCAACATTATATTATTATAATACTTACATTTTCTATTGACAAGTAACATGCCAAAAAAATAACAATAAAGTTACTGAAAAACATTATGGATTATATAATAGTGGAAACTATAATTTTTAAATAACATTAATTGATATACAACATGTATCTAATTGTGTTGTTTTATAGTTTGAATTGTACAAATATTTTTTGCTAAAATCTAAGTATAATACAATAGGTATATGTATAATGTGGTTAAAAAAATTTCATTCATGTTTGTTAAGGTGCTTCTAATGTGAGATTTCCTTTAATGTAAATAATTCATGTCAATTATTTTTGTGAAAATACAAAAATACTTATTGTTCATATCTGTATTAATTGTATTGTATTACTCTTATTTAAATAAAATCTTCATGTTTTATCAGTTTTAAAAACAATTTTATCCTATAGTCGCACTTAAATATATTATGTTTAATTTAAAAGCTAAAAAATTAAAATTTTTTAATCTTTGAATAATATATAAGTATTTGAGTAGATTATGATAAATAGAACATATTGTACAATCAGTAACATTAATTTATAATTAAAAAGAGACTGATAAAAGTAAATCATAAGACCAAATTAATGTATTCATAAATTTAAGAGATCTATCAGCATAAATAAGTACCCAAGTCGATCTCCTTCCTGGGAATAAAATATAGTAATTAACTACTACAATAGGGACGTCGTGTAGCGCAGTGGATCATTTAGTCGCCGCCTTAGAGCTGATATTCAGCTGTCCTGTTTGCTGTTGGTTCCCGGATAGTTTACCGTACGGGAACTTAACTGTTACACACACCTTACCAATTCTCTCAGCTATAATGAGTTAGTGTCAGGTCGACGGACGGTGTAAAAATCCTGTCAAATCATTGAAAGTTAAAGCTGACCCCAAATAGCTGAGATTGGGATATATAACTAAAGAGATAATGATGATGAATTAGAAAAAAATTTTACAAATCCAGGAATAATAATAATTATAAGACTAAGGAGATAATGCACTAAATACTTTAATATGGTCTTTTGTATATTGAATCGACTAATAACGCCAAACAGCTAGGTCAGCATTCGTGATCATTATAGATACAGATATATAGGTATCCCATTGGGTTTTCCAAATTTTAACATTGGTGTATATAGTCAAATTAGTAAATGACGGTGGGACACCTACACAGGAATCGCTGATGATATAAAATAAACATTTTTACACAATACACATTATTAATAGATATTTTTTAATACAAAATAATATAATCTTGTATTTATTTGTAGGTGATTTCATCATATTTTGCTGGCAAAAAAACAAACATGAAAATTTTGCAATAAATTACTTCCGCGATTATTTCTTTTGTTCATTTAATATGTTTTCATAGCTGAACAAATACAATTCAGTTCCATTATTTTTAATAAATAAAAACAAATTAAATATATTAAAAACAAGTTTTTACCAGAAGTTTATAAAATATGAACGTCTTAAACATAATTATTATTTCATAAAAAACCAATTGTTTGTGTTAAAAATAATAATAATAATAATTTTTAGCATTTTTTTTTCAAATATATTTTATTAAATTATAATTTAGATATTATCAACATAATAATATTGTTTCATAATGAATTCGTTTGAAAAATTAGTTTTATAAACATAAACTTAATGATGACGTTTTTTTTGATCATCAAAATAATTTTCCTTCGTTTGTCGTTTTTTTGGTTGTATTGCTCAAAAAGGCAATGCATGCATAAAAAATTCAAACATCAGTACTCATTATATTTGGAACGGACATTAAGTTTTTATCTGAATAACCTCTCCTTAAATTAAAAAATTTCATTATAACTATCATGTTTTTTTTTGACGATAGAAATTTCTAGATCATTAATTACCGATCAGTATTTATGACCATCAAGTATCATGTAAAGTAGCTGCAGTATTTTATTCAAAGGAGTAGTTTATAAAAAAGCAGATAGACTTTTTGAGTGGTAAAGAAATTTCAATTAATCTTAACAGCAAAACAATAATGAACATTGGTAATAATATCATAATAACATTAAGTACATAGGTGCAATTTAAACAAAATGTGTGGAGGGGTTATTATGTGTAATTCGCCGTCCCTATTTTTTTTTCCTTTAATCAATATATAATTTTCTGAAATTTTGGAGTGGCTAAGCTCATTCAAACCCTTCCCAATTTACACCTATAATAAAACATTCAACTGTTGAATACCATAATACTTAATTATAAGGGGACATTTGGAGATGGGAAATTTATATAATATAACGGATTATATGATATAATTTTATGAGTATTAAGTAAAAAATAATTTAGTGTTAAGTAATTCAGATAATCAGATCACTAATCTTTAATTAATTTCATTAATTAAAGATTTTTTATATCCTTAAGTTAAAAAAAATATTAAATTTCCATGATTTAATGGAATCACATTTTTTTTATAAAATAACATGAAATATAAAGTAAAATATTAACTGGGTTTTTTTTTTATTAAAAACGTAATTTAAATATTTTTTTGGATCGTTAGCTTTTTCTAATATATTATTTGAAAAAAAATTATGTGAATACTGATTTATATTTTATGGCACTACTGATTCATTTTTCATTTTTATTATAAAATTATTGTATATTTTAACAACTTTAACATTATTTGGTAAATTTATTAAAGTTTACTGTATAGGATATAAGAGTTACATTCAAACAGATTTCTATGTTACCCACAGATTTTATTTTAAAGTATAAAACTACAATAAAAATATGGGGAATAATTAAAAAATACAAATTACACATTCGTAAATACATATTAAAAGCTATTTACATAAGTATAATTTTTACACTATTAACATGAAAATCATAAATTTATAGTATTTTAAGGCAGTGAAGGCTACAATTCATTTTGCCTTCTAATTTTCTTAGATCAAATTTATATTCATATTTGAAAAATTAAAACAATAATTATATTATATTTGTAACATTTTAAAATCTATAATTTTTAAAAATAGTATGTTATACTTTAATACATGTAATGGTTAAAATTGTACAAAAATCAATAAGAAAAAATTATAACACATGTTATCATAAAAATATTAAATATACAAAGTGTATCTTTTAATGATAGTCACTTGATTTCTCTTAAAGTAATGATTATATTAAGAAAATTATATTATATTAAGACTGTTCTATTAAGTTTAACTGAAATTTTTTGAATATTTTAAGTTAATTTTGTGTCATTTTTCAAAAAAAAAACTGAATTTTGAGTATTACTTTTTTTTATTTAACTTACTATCATGAAACTTTAATAAAAAAAATAGATAATTTTATAAGAATTTTAAAAATATTAACTTTGTGTATTTTGACACATTTTGTATTTTAACATAAAGTGAAAAAATGTCTGTTACACAAAATCTCGAAAATTTGCAACAAATATTATTTTTATATACTTTTTCATTATTTTTTTACTTTAGAGTAATTCAGTAATGATTTTATAAAACCTTATATATTTTTTTTACCATAAATACAATGGTGTATTTACATTTTATGTATGACAATTGTATAATTAACTATATATTATATAATCATAAAGAAAGGTTTTGATGCTAAACCAAAAAAAGAAATACTATAAGTTCAGAATTTTTTTTTTTTGAAAGAATGAAGCATTGAAAATCTTAAAAATTGTAAACAATAAATTAATTTTTTTGTTATTTGTTGTTCTGTATTATTTAGTTTCATATATTTTTTGATTTACACTTATTAGATACATTTTTAATTTATCCTTTAAACTATATAAAGGTTTTAACTTTAATTTTTTAAATGGCAATGTACACATTTAACTAGCTTATTTATTAGAAAATGGTCTATTTAAGAAAGACTGTTTGATAACAACTCTTGTACCAGTATTTTGAATGTTATTAACATTTGTATACCTAGACGGGAGGTAAGTTGAGGCTGAAAAATGTCTAATAATAAATATTATCATACATGCGTCTAACCTTTAGTCTATATTATAAAATGGTAATAACTTACAAAACAATTGGTCAATTATGTACTAACGCAAAATTTTCTTAATTAGATCAATTTTTATTTTACAAGCTAGTTATATATGTGTATGTATTTATTTAAATATTAAAGTTTACCTTATAAGATGTATGTGATGAATTTAAATTGTAACTAATAACTGATAAACCAGAAAATGCATGAAATTAAATGATATCAAAGATAATTTTCTCAATATAATCAATATTTTAAGAGAAATTGAGTGGCTAGCATTAAAAGAATTACCTGTAGACAAAAAGTTAGTAAGGTTGAAGTTAACATTTAGAAATTAAGAAATAAAGTTTATGAAAAATTGTCATCCATTCTCAAAAATGAATTAAAATCTGAAAAAAAAAAGTAAACAATTAGTCAATTATTATTAATTAACTTTCATGCATAAATATAATATATTTAAACATATTCTCATTCAAATGTATAATATACTTTTGATCGAGCATTTTTATATTTTCTAAACATAAAATTATCACTAAAATTAAGGCAATGGTTTGAGAAAGGTACAAAAGTAAAAAAAAAATCAGTCTTTCGATTTTTTGCTGCAAGTATTAGTAGCTTAGATAAACATCGGTAACATCTATTGTAAAGCTTAGTATTTGGGGGCATAGTGTGGTGCGGTGGAACATTTAATTATCTTAGCCCTGATTTTCAGTTGCACTTGACACACATTTTGTCTTCCTACTGGTTTCCTCCGCCATAATAAAGTTGTGTCAGGTTAACAAGCTATGTAAAAAACCTTATCAAATCAATAAAGTAGGCTAACCCCAAATATTTGGGATAGAGGCTAAGGAAATGATGATGATGACTGTAAAACTTAGTATTTGTTTCTTAGTACCTTATGTACCTCGATTTTCAAACCTATTTTTAAGGAAACTGTTTTGTTAAATTTTTTCAGTTTTAAGTTCTATTTTTATGGCTAAGAATTCAATCTGTTAAAAATTTAACAGTTTGTAACTTTTAGAATTATAATGCTACATAAAGAAGAAATTTATAGAAGCTATTTTTTTTAAATCTAAGTTATATATCAACAATAGTTACCAAATCCATTCAATGAATCAGTAATATTAAATCCAACAATTGATGTATTATTTGGTAATTTTCTCATTTCTTCTTGAATAAATATTTTATCAGTATCTGTTAGTTTACAACCAAGATGTCGTAAAGCTGTCAATACTTCAAACTAAAAACATGAAAAATATATTATTATTTTAAAAACTTAAAAAAAACATTAGTTAATGCATTTTGAAGCACCAAGTTTTTATTTATTTAAACCAGTTTTGCAGTTTATTTTTTTTTAAATTTAATACCCTTAATATTTAGTTTTTTTTATTTTATTTCACTATGTTTAGTTTTGGGTAATGTTATATTATTATAAGTTTTTAGTTAAACCTTAAACAGTCGCGTAGGGGTCTAGCATTCCCCCACATAAATAAAAACGGATGTATTATATTGCATAAAAGGTGTACATAGATATAAATTTAGAAGATGGTTTTTATAGTAATATTGAATAGATTTTCATAAAAAAATACCTTTGAAAAAAAAATGTATGACTTAAAATATCCATCAAAGTTGAAATGGGTCATATTAATGAAATTTTGAAAATTAATTTTTTTTTTTCGTGATATAATTTTTAGTAATGCACATAATTTTGTAATTTATTTATTTTTTAATTTTAATTTTTTAATTGTTATCCATATTTATCTATCATATGGTAACAAATTATGTCTTTGAATTAAAAAACATGAACTTTTTTATACTTTTTTTAGAAATGGGGTCTAATAGACCCCCACGCGACTATGAACGTTAAAAATAGGTACGCGCCTGTTTAAGGGTTAATCATTATACATTATTTTTATATTTTACAATTCAAATCATTATTCGGAAGTTACTGCTATTATTTTAATAAAGTTATAGTCATGTCATGAAAACGGTTTCAAGCACAGATTAATACAATTGAACTTTTAATGATCATGAAGGCTTTTATACGAGTTTTTTTTATGACACTTAATAGTAAAAAAACAAATAAAAATGTCACTTTCTATACAAGAAAAATTTTGAAGTATAAATTTTAATATAATTTATATATTATACAAATTGTAAAAAAATTCAATTTATCTATTTCAAAAAATCATAGAAGTACATTGATTTTATAAATATTTTAATTAGTTTCAAATTAATGTATTAGGTAGTGTTGATGGTAAAATAACCAGATACAATTCTTTTTTTTAAGAAAATTCACTTGTACACAGGATTTAAAATAATAGAAATGGCTATATGCGAAGGTGCAAAAATGAAATATTTCTGATAACTTTTCATGGAGCTATAACAAAAAATAAATCATGTATGATATATTTCAATGTAAAACAATTTAATTTTTTTTTTATTCCTTAAGTTTTTAAAAGTGGATATGTCTTATTACTACATTAGTACTTTTAACTTAAAATATTAAAGCTAGTTTATTTTGACTTAAAATAAACATACTTTAATGATGATAGATTTGAGTAAAATAAATAAAGTTAGCAAATAACTAGTGATCAGAAATATCGAATAGTAACTATCGAACTATTTGATAGTTGTCCACTATTCAAACTATTCGAATATTTTTTTAAATATTTGATAGTTTATGCTAAAAATAAACTATTTGGTTGTATAAAAAAGTTTTAAAAAACTATCAAATAGTATTCGATAGTATAAAATATTTGAAATGCCCATCACTAATAATAACATTTTACTGAGGAGACATACCTTTTGACGGTTACCTAGATCAGAGCTTATTTTCCCTAGTTTCATGTCTCTATCAATTTGATTACGTTTTTCTTTTAGAGCATTAGGTTCATTTTTAGCAAATAATTTTATTATTGAAGGAGTTTGGAATGCTTTAGTTATAGCAGCACTTGTTGCCTAAAACAAATTAAAAAACAATCAACATAGTAAGAAATTAATTTCCATCAAATCTGTTAATAATTAATTTTACATTAGACCCTTCTAATGAAAAATAGTTCAAATAATTTCTTATGCATGTTGTATTACCAATCGCATAATAGATAATTTATCATGAAGCGTAGTATTGCCAGATGTAATTTTAATTAATCTTTCGTTAAATTCTTTAAGCTGTTCAACAGTATCCTCTTTTGTTTCATTATATTCTTCATCAGTTAAGTCATTCCTGTAAAATAAAAATGTTACTAAAATTTAATTTTAAATATTTGATAAAAAATATGTTATTCATTCTATATACATAATATTATAAAGTATATAAATACTATTCTATGTAAAAGATAAAATTTCATAAAAATTGTAGTATAAACAAAACAATGTGATTTTGACTACTTAGTAAACTCTTAGTTTGCAAATTAATTTTTTTTGATCCTGACATCCTATTTAGTAATAACATTCATGTTTGATTTTACTACAAATTTTAGTTAATATACTCAAGCATAAGCCCAACTAAAATAAAATTTTTGGGTATCCTAATTTATTTCCCTTATTCTAATTATGTTTAATAAACAATTTCAAAAACTTTTAAATGTGATATTTATAACATTATGTATATTAATACTGTAAAATACTATTTATTTATATAGTAAATTATTAAAGACAGTAAAAAATATTGTACGATAATTGCATATATATCTTATTTATAGAATTACTTATGTCTCCATTGATGTATTATTAATTACATTATAAACTATTTAATATACATTCAAGTATTAATATTATGAATTATTTAAATTTGATACCTGCATTCTTCTAGATCACTAAGTTGTTGTACTAATCGATCCAACTGCGCTTCTAAGTTTTCTCTAAGCAAGGAATTCTCATCAACCATAACTACCTGTTTACACACCGAAAAATTTGGATACAATAAAATTTGAATTAATTAGATCAAAGAAGCTTAATAATTACATACTGTTGTTTTATCATATAATATACGTAGAGATAATATATAATCATATCTATAGAATTTACTAATTTGTATGACTTTATATCAATTTCTTAGATAATCAAAAAGAAATATATAGTTGCATCAACTAAAAAGATAACAGTTGCTTGAATCGATTTAAAAAATAAAATTTAGAGATTAAGCTAATATTTAAAGATGTATAAATTAAATATTTACCAAAATGTAAATTCTTTTTACTTAAATTGTTCTATTTTTTTATGTCCATAGCATGGTTAAATAAAATTTGAGAATACTATATAATAGTGGTTTAAAGTAATAAAGGTTGAGATTCTAAATCTACATTGTAGATAGCGTTACTTTACCAAAATAATTACTATTTTTAAAATCAATAAATTTCGACATTTTTAAAAATTATTTTACTGAAAGCTTCATGACTTTTAACAAATGAATATTTTTATATTTATAAATACCTTAGGTGATTCTCTTTCTTTTGGTATATATTATTTGAAAATTGGAACCTTATCTGCCAACTGGGGTGAATTCAAAATGGCGACTTTTGCATGAAAAATTAACTTTTTTAACTTAAATTTTGAACTGTATTTTATAATGGTAATTGACATATTTATCTAGCTTATAAAATATCAAAAGGTTCTAATTAAGAAAATGGCTGGTCGATGACAACTTTTGACCCATTCTTTCGGAAGTTATAACAATTTTAAAATGTTGAGTGGAGATGAAATGTGGGTTTTGTTATTTTTATTATAAGGCATTACGTGCTTTTCCACCAATATTTTTTTTTAAATGATAATAACTTCCTAAGTATTACTTAAAAAGTTGTTATCAACCAGTCATATTCTTAATGAGATCATATTTTACTTTATTATCTAGTTATATATATATATATATATATATAATTTGATACCATTACTAGGTATAATGGATAAATAAAAAAAAAACCTTAGTAATTAATGAATGGAAAAATATAAAAAATTAAATAATGTCAGAAAGAATTTTCTCAATATAATTATTATTCTAAAAGAATTCGAGTATCTAATATTAAAAGAATCATACTATATACAACAATTTTATTACTTTTAATAATTTTTCTGTAAAAATTAGAATACTAAATTATTAAATATCAATTTCATACTAATTTTAATTACTATAAGTATTTACTCATATATTATACTTATAAATAACAAAACTTGTAATCTGGATATAAATAAGGAAATAGGAGTTAATGTAGACTTTGGTATAATTCAATATTTTTTTTCAAAAATTAAACACTATAGATTTGCGTCGAATTATTTTTTATGATAGAGATTTTAATTGCTGTTAGATATCATCTATACTTTTCCCAAATGATTGGTTTTTTAAAAAGCATTTCAAAATTTCACGTGACAGGTCAGATTGGGACTCGGCTTGACGATTTCTTCACTCAATCTCACCGTGCTGAACTCGTGTACTTACGTCGTGTGAAGTAAGTTTTGGTAAATATAAAGTTTTAAATAAGCTTGGATAAATGTGATATAGGATTGTTTTGCCTAGGTTTTTGGTTCTATTTTTATGCTTAGCATGGTTTTACTTTTTTAATGTGTTTTTAATGCAAATCAGTTATTTTTTAAACCTACATATTATTATTTTATGTTTTATGTATTTGAAATATAATATAATAAAATAACTGATATCATATATTTTAATTTATTTAAATAATGATCTTAAGAAAAATTCTTTTTTTTTTTAAATCGACCTAAAATGACCCTTAATTTGCCAAACTTATATGAAATTAAAACTAAGATTTTTATAATTGGTAATATGACCATTTTTTATTATAGATAAGTTAGGATTTGATCAATTAATAGTCAAAATATTGAGTCGTAAGTTCATAAATGATAAGTTTTTAATCCATGATTTTTGTTTTGAAAGAAAAAATACCTTAAAATTATTTTTTCTCAATGTAATAAAATGATACTAAAAATTTTGATGATTTTATTTATTCAAATATTTGATAAAAATTTCAATTGATTATTATGTGACGCGACTACTCGGACGACTATTTGACGCGTCAAGCCTCATCTTCGCTGGTTTTGTGTCAAAAATAATTAAAGTTAATAAATTAAATATTAAAACTAAATAAAAGAAGATTCGAATAAAATTGTATGGACTGTATAACTTTTTTGGTTACTGTCACAGTCTAGGATTTTTTATTATTAATTATGACTATCAATAAATATCCTTTCTGTATTGTCAGTTAGTGTATTTATATACTCACAACAATGTGCCTTACTACCATTGATAATAACAATGGGGTGTACCTTCTAATATCGATGTCATAAAAAATCAATTAGCTACCTGTATTTGTAATCCCTTGTGTATTATACATGTATATTAATTAAAATATTTGAAACTGTAAATGTTTATATCTAATAAACAAATAAAGTTATACTAAAAGTTCAAATGCCATTTGCTATTAAATTAAAAACTCAAACACTTTATTAAATTTAAAATATGTGTTCGCATTTAAAAAAACAAAGGTGACACCCTTATCAGGCATAAGGGATGAACTTAAAAAGTATTACATAGTTAATAATTCAAGAATAATGTGTAACTAAAGATAATAAAAAAAAAAAATGTTTAAATTATTATTATTCTGCAAGTAATTGAGTGGGTTATGATAAAAAAATCACCCTGTATATTATATATATACTATCCACTATTGAAGACAATTGCATTAGTGAAGAAGCTCTAAAAGTATTGGAAAGTTAGTTTTTATTGATACTTGATGGTTTGAATATTTTAGTTGGCAAGGTGTTTCGTTTAGAGACAGACATATAGCATAAAAAAACCAAGCACAGGGGAGTCGCGGCATAGTGGTGACGTGGCATATGTCCACTCGATCGTTTTCTGGAATTTGTAAAATATATCATTTGTTGTAACCGTATTCAATGACAATATATACACGAAGGATGTGCATAATAATGATGAAAATGTCCTGCGACTTGAGTGAAATACAAATGAGATAGAAAACAAATCGCAAGGTTATTTTGAAATGGTTGAGTAAATTAATATTTTCTATAAATTATTTTAGGGAAACGTTTACTTATTATTACGATATTTATTCGATTGAATGAACACTATTTAAAACGTATTACTTCAATCAAATTAAATGAGTAAAAAATTAATAATAATTTGATTAAAAGATACTTTTCATTGATTTCTAAAATTCATTTTTATATCTAACATTAATTTATTGTTATTTTAAGTAATATGTGTATCTAAAATAGAATATTGAGTAAGCGTCTTCAGTATTCAAATTTGAAAAACAGTAAATTTTTAATGAGATATAAAAAAATTAGAATAGTTAATTATGCTATCTCAGACAAAAAGTATTCTCAAAAAAACTTAATACTGTATACATGTCTGTTGTAAAAAGTAAAAAAAAAATTTGTTGCAATTTAAAAAAAATTATATATAAGTATATAAAGGGAAATGGTTTTATTTTAAAAAAAAGTATGTTGTATTAAAGAGGTTTATAAACAGTATTTATCATAAAAAATTATATTGATCCATATATTTTTCAAAAAGTTATAGCATTATAAAATTAAAGATATAAAAAAGAATTTTTTTACAACAATTGTATTTTTTTATTAAGTTTGATGTCCATTTTCACCATGAACACAAACTAAAGTCTGAAATTTTTCTTTTTCATAGTAAATTATATTACATAAGCTTTAATTTAAGATATAAATTTAATATATTATATATATATATATAAGTGTCAGAATTCTGGAGCACTTATAATAATTAAGTTTACCTGTGGTCAGGTAAAGGGTCAAATTTATAAAAAAAATTAACTTAATGATAAGTAAAGACATTTTAATCTATAAAAAAAAAATTATATTGATTTGTTCATTTTTAAAAAAGTTGTGGCAGTTTTAAGTAAAAAAAAATTTCGAAAATTAGCGATTTTTAAATTTGTAATTTTTTTGGAGATTTCTCCCGTTTACGGGGAACGATGGAAATTTTTTCAATTTTGAGGATAATATCTTCGACTAGATACGATTGATGATCTTTTGACGTATTGTTGAAATGAATCTTCTCGGTAAGACCTGAGAATAAGTGGTAACAGACACACAAAAAAAAAAACACTTCATAGTAAAATTAATACCTTCTTAGCTTCGCATCGAAGCTAAAAAAAATTTAGTTTATACTTAATAGTTTTTTTAATTTCATTACCTTGAAATAGTTATATATATTTGATATGTGATAGTTTATTAAATGGATATATAGTTGTAACAATAATAAAGAAAAATTGAAAAATATTCGTAATCTTGATTACTTCATTCTTGATTGTAAATACTTAATTATATAAGATACAGATTATAACTAAAATATTAAAAATGTTAAGATATTATTATTTTTTTTAAGGTTTCAATTAAATTATAATTAATATAAAGCATTGAAATTTTCTAAGTTATGTGATTTTTCACTGTATATTTTAGTATTAATTTATCAAATATTTTTATTATGGAATTTAAATTAAATTAGTCGTATATTTGACGAAATTTTACCATGTATTTATATATTTTTCTGCATCAGAAAAATTTGAAATGTATTAATTTACTGTAAATAATTAAAAATATTTTAAAATGATTACGTCTGGTATTTAAAAAATTTGGGGCGAGAGTACACCTATTTTCTCTTTGAATGACGCCCCTCTGATGAGAATATTTTTTTTAGCAAAGGTAGTGTTAAACATCAATTAGATTGATTAATTGTTTATACATTTTCCGTTAAAGCACAAGTCTCGTACCTAAGCAAACCAAAAAATAATGTACAAGATACTTAAAAAAACCGATAATTTATGAAATTATTAAAGTTTCATATAAAATTATTTGATAATAAGTCTTAGAAAAATATCTTTTTGAAAAAATTTGGAATATTTTTGCATAGATTATAAATATTTTATTATTATGTTTTTAATGTTTAAATTAAAATTTTCAAGCAATATAAACATTAAATTAATATACTAATGTGTAATTTAGAGTAATATAAAATTTCTAAAAATTAGATATTATGGTTACAAAAGTATATTCTTTAGTATATAAAAAGTATTATTACCATGTTTGTCTATTGTACATTTTCTATGAAACCATTATTGGACATATTGATGGATTAATAATTTTTATTTTAAAAATGACTAATAATTAGGCTTATTAAATATTTCTTATATTAATAATATATTACTATTTATTATTAGCCGTTGAAATTATTTCTCGTGTTTCAAGGCCTTTGGCTCAGTTTTAAACGTAACTAGGGGGCTAAGTTCTCTTAGACGACCAAAAATTATATTAAAATTTAAGTTTTTAGTTACTATGTAGAAGTAATTTTTAAAGGAGTGGTGTTATAATTCTCCTATCATTTTTTTTGTTCTTATAAGAAAAGCTTAATGGTATGCCACTACTTTTACAATTCTTTTAAATTTTCTTTTAATTTATTATTTTGAATGTACGAAAATTAATTTTTTTATTTTAATAAGCCATAGAGACCTCCACATATCTCATTACAGTTTAATATTATTTGATATCACTACACAATGTTATGTAAAATGCTGTAATATTTTCCTCTGGAATATTACAAAATGAATACTTCTTTTATTTCTCAGACCACATAAAGAATACACTAAAACTATTACACATTTTATTCTGACTTTTGGTAATTGTAGAGTTGCCATGAGTCATTCACTTTCTTAGCATGTAAAATCTTAAGCATACATGTTGAACAACTGAGATTCAATAAGGTAAGATTAGTTTTACTAAATATAATAAGTAATAACCTTTAGATAAATATATCCCCCTCTTTATTATCATTATTTTAGTTATTACAATGCATATATATATATATATATATATATATATATATATATATCAAAGAATTAGGAATATTTTTTAAATTTACTCATAATAAAGCAATAATATATTTCTTAATTTTACCTACCAATAATTAGAATTGAAACTGATACTACATTTTTACATTAATTCAAATATTGGACCGATTTCAACAGATTTTCAAAGTTGCATGATTTATGAAAATAAAGCTTTATAAAAAAATTATAACTACTAATTTATTTTGCTAAACATACGGGTCTAATAACCCTTTATGGTATTATAAATCTATAAAAGATAATCAATATATTTAGTATTTATTATATTACTAAAATTTTTTTGTTTTGCGTGGAATGCTATCATCGTTAAAAAAATGTCATTAAAAAAACCTATTTATAGTTATATATATATAAAATAAAAAACAAGTATCAATTAGTATATTTTCCCTAGCAATCGTTCCATACATTATTTATTAATATTATCACAAATTCTAAGTCCTAAAAATAAATTAACAATATTACATTAAATTATTTTAAAACACAAAAAATAGTATGCTTAAAATTATCCTGAAACAATATCATTCTGCTGCCGTAAAACAAAAAAATTAATTTAACAGTGCTATTTATTGAATTAAAAATTAGTTTTTATTATTAAAATTTGAAATTTTACTTATAACCAATTTTAACTTAAAAGGAAAGTATATAAAGGAGGTTAGGTAATTAATGAACTCAACCGCTAAAATTTTCAATCATGAATCTATTAAAAACTTTTTGTATGTTATTACTAGTATTCAATAATTTGTTAAAAGCTTGTAAAATTGCTGTAAGTTAAGTTAATAACAACAAGATAAAAATACCTTAAGTTTTCAGTTTATAAGGATATTATATAACATAATGAATTATTTTACAATTCATATTGTGTTGTTGGATATTTCAACTTGTTGATAATATGTAAAATAAAATTAGAAAATTAAAAAAGTAATTAGGATACGGGCATGCAGATGATCAATTATAATATTTTTTTAAAATTTAAATCCCTTGAGTTTGAAAATTATTCATAAAAAATCGACTAGAAGTAAAAAGTTTGAACAAATTATAAAAAAAAATTATATAATTAACATTGATAACAGAGATTTAATACATAGTGTCATATAATTTATTGTAGTTATTAATTAAAAATTACTTATATACAATATGTAAAAAAATAATAACAGTTTTTTCTTTGATTATAAGTTTACGTATTTTGATCAAGTAGCTTATTTATAGCTTTTGACCAAATAATAAATTTAACAACAGTTCAGGAATAGGTTATATACATTATTTTACATCAATATTTACAAAATTGGTTCATCAACGTCTAATCAGTCGTTATATCCAAAATTTAAAGTAAAAATGTGTTTACTTTAGATGCGTTCTTATTTTAAATTATTATCTCAAATATAACTAAACAATAAAAGTAATGTTGATTGCGATAAGTTCCATGGAAGCAACTTCTACTTGATCCAATTGGTCGATAGTACCTAGTTCATGAATTCCAGTTAAGGAAGTTCGGGACAGCTTTATTGTATGCTCAGTAAAAAGAGTATTCTCATCAAATGCTCCTTTGTCTTGACGTAAAGAACAGTCTGAAAATCGTACACCACGATTCATCCGACAGTCATAACCCTTTCTGTGAATAATCATTAATGCTGATTGGGATGGAAATTGTTGAAATATAGGATCGGACATAGTACGGAGATTCATTAGATGTACATCACATGGAAGAGGCTTATTTAGAGCTAATGTTTTTGGTCGTAGCATATGTTTTGCTTCAGGTTCCACTACGAACACATTAGCTGGATATAACAAAGACTCTGACAAGAGGTTAGCTGTTAAGCTTGGATTAGTTACATGATTTTTGTATACATTCCCATCTTCTGACAAAGTTTCCAGTAACAGCCAATATTTAGTCAGCGTACGTTTATTGTCCACTACTCCCTCGCCAAGACCACGAGAGTCATCATATAATGTTCGCCTATCTAACATGAGTTCTATTCGACCAGGTTCCCAGCCAGAGACACCTTGTGCGTGATTTAATAAAACAGTTAGTCTATGCCGGTTATCTTCGATGTAAGTTGCTGATGTGGCTGGATAATAGTTACCCTCGACACCAATTCGTTTAACAGTGATCCGTTTTTGCATTTGAAAACCGTTAGAGTCAGTATAGATAACTGGTGGTTCACCATTTGAAATACCTGTCGACAATCTCATAAACAATTCAGTCTCTCGATTTTTTGGTGGCAAGTCAAAATCAACAACATTTTCAACGTTTAATCCACGACTTTCAATGCCTTTAACGTGGTATAAACGAACCGTGTGTGTTAGAATACTGTAAACAACTGTGATTTCTGATGACAAGGGCCCCGACGTTATAATAATAGTTGGTGGACCAGGATAATCATCTAATACTTTTCTTTCAGTATCTCTAAGGTTCGGATCGGGCATAAACAAATATGCACCACTATGAAATTGAGCTGACTGATATGCAGCAAAGTCAATATCTATATATTGTGAGGTTCCCGTGTCCTTATCTACAATTTTACGAAGAAGTCCAGTCTTTCCATCAAACAACGCTTGAACATGTGCGTTTTCTAATTGAATGTCACCTAATCGCATTGGTTTCACAATAAAAGCAGAATGACCAGCACAGTTCTTACAGTATATTGATGATAAACCTTCAGCATTAAGTGACCTATGCACCGTAAATGTTGTGAGACTTAGAGGTTCAAGAGTTGCAAAAAACAATAGTTCATAACATACTTTAGAAATTGATAATGGTTCATCAGTTTTAGTTACATTCCAAATAGGATTAATTTGATGTTTAAGAGCGACATTTTCACTGTCTACTACGCGAACATAGGGTTCGGAGAGCAATATCTTTATTAGCTCGTATCTGCGTCGACCATGCGAGTTAAATACAACAACACTCCTAGGCTTATTTTTATCTAAGTTTAAAGCTAGTCTATAAGGAGGTTTATCATATGATTGTCTATCACTATCGGGTATAATAATTTTAGCTGAAGGAGATACGCTTGCTTCGTCTTTTACCAGCAAACTTTGAACTGAAAAACTCTGAACGAATGAACAATCTTGAATACCTTCAAACAACTTAAGTGCATAATCATTCATTACAAATGCCTTAGATGTACCAGTAATAGCATCGTGATGTTGAAATAGTGCCAGATTTTGACGAGCTTTTGTCAACTTTTCGTAGTCCCGCTCTAACAGACGTACAGTGTCATTTAAGCGTTTTCGTCTAGCGTCATTCACTGCCAGTGTGAACAATATCTCTGATGATCTAAGATTTGCCTCTAACTCTCTATCTAACACTTTCCAGTATGGCCGACTAGTATAATAGCCACTCCAATAAGCAGGTCTACCTTCTGAAAAAATATCACTGTATACAAAAAAATCCCCACGTAACGTGCTAAAGTGATCACCACTACGTTCTCGGAGAACTTTAAAAAAATCTGAGGGTGTGCCAAATTTAACTTCAGCGTTGTGGTATCGTTCTTTATTAGCATTTATAAAGTCAAAAAGTCGTTTATAGTTCCTATACTGTTGGTCCCATTCCATTTCCTGTTCATACCGAAAGTCATCACCTAATGGGATCAATGCCACATTAAAAGGAGACACTGAACCTGTTCGTCCGTACTGTTCCATTAATAGGTCTGCTTTTTGTTTTTTATTCTGTTCATCGATTGGCACAGCCCTTAAAGAGTACTCTGTGTATTCACCGGGTATTTTTCGAAAATCAAAATTCAAACACACCTGAAAATATCAGCGTATTATTTAAACTTACTATTTATACAATGGAACAAAAATAATTTACCTGAGGATGAGGTCCACAAGAATGTTTTATGGAGTATATATCAAATGGCAAGTTGTGTACCAATGTGTCAGTGTGACCACTTCTATCCCAATTTTGTCTCCAAAAGAAATGACCATTTTGGTTACGTGCCAGCCACTCTTTCCATACGTAGTGAATACGCTGAATAATAGTACCTCCGGTCACTTCAGACTCTTTGAGTAGATAAGGTACTGTAGGTCCATGTCCGAAAGGATCTACGGACCACCCGGTTTTGACTTTAACTCCTAAATTATTTTTCACCCATTGATGTCCTATAACACAATAATAAATAGAATTAATATTCTAAAAGAGCCTATTTTTTTCATAGCAAATAGTTATTGACAAATTTAGCACACAAAAGATGTTTACATTTTTTCAATGAAATTCAAGATTTTTAAACAATTTAATAAAGTCATAAATAATAAAGTTTAAATCTTTATAATTTATAAAGAATAATGTTAATTAATAGCTGATAAATCAATGAATATTTGTTACAAAATAATACAACAATTTTTTCAATATTGTATTTAGCGAATCACTTTGTATGCTAATAATGTTTAGTGAAAGATGTTTAGTTAATTCCCGCAAAATAAAAAACTTAAAAGTATATTTATATGGAACATTTTATCTAGTAAAATTAAAAAGAGATATAATTATTGTTATATTTTTAAGGAAAAAAAAATATTTATCTTGTTATTAATAAACTATCAAATGAACTCAATACATTTTAAAATGATCACTTATATTAAGTTTTATACTACAAACGCTCTGTATATTATATTTGATGAAATTGTTAATGACAATGGTTATTACAACCACATAACAACAGTCTTGAACAATAACAGTATCATATATCAAAAATAAGGGGAGGATATCGTGAAAACATAGTTAAATGTGGATAATGTGTATTACAATGAGAATGTGTATGTAAAGGGCCATAACATATACCATGTACGAGAGAAATTCTACTATAATAGAGAAGAACAATGATGCGATAATGAATAGATTTTAATATATTAGGTCTTTCAGACAGATAGCTTTTAGTAATATGTTCTTAACTGAACAAGACTTAACCTCAGAAAAATAATATTGTTTATAAAATTACTATTAATTCATATTAAATATTCAATAATTGTCATATTAATCCTTAATAATTACAATGTACTTTATTATAACTATTACATATTTTTAAAATTTTATTTTATTAGTTTATTTATAAGCAGAATCCCCACTTCACCAACAAAAATATTTGTGAGTAATAATAGTATATATTATTATATAATATTCCATAAGTATATACTTATAGCATTAGTTAGACGATAAAAGCTAAAGCTATCTTTTAAATTAATATCCCAATATTTAACCTCTTAAATACCGTCAAATGGACTAACTTGGAGTGGTGGTTAAATTTGGGACAATTTAATAATTTAAAAATTGCATCAATTAATTTTTGTGAACAAATATTTTGTGTTTCTTATAAAAACTTGTAAACATTTTACTAGTGCTGTAGATTGATACGGCTAAAATGATAATGGATATATGATTGTCACAAGTTTAACGACCTCCCCAAGTTATAACGTTTGTCTGTAGTACTAAACAAAACCAACAATCTTTGTTCAAAGTTATAATTATTTTAAAGGAAATATCGTGATGAAAATCATACATTATGTACTACTAGAAGTTTTATTGCTAATGAAATTATTTATTCAACTAATTATCGCATATATAAAAATATTTTTATCTATTTCCGTTAACCTATCACAGCAAACTGTGTTTAAAAATACAAGTACTTAAGTAATTTGTTGTTAAATTATTCGTATTAAAAAATATTCTTATCTCAAATATAAATTTTAACAATCGATATAAAAACGTCTGATTGATTTTAAAATACATCTATAGTAGTATAGTAAAATGTTATAGTGTTTTTATTAAAAAATAACACTGATGCTAAAGGACTCTTATGTTTTTAATTTGTACAGGAAAAGAACTTTAAATGAGTTTTAATTAAAATTATGCAAAATCAGACTGATTATCTTTTAAATTATAGGAAATATAAAATATAAAAGAAAATATAGGGTGACGGTTGGGTGAAAATAAAGTACATGAAATACAAAGGATATTGCAATAATAGTAAAACAGGTACATTTAATGAAGTGCTTAAAAGAGTAAGCATAACTCAAAAGTAAAAACATAAATAAACAATAAAAAAGCTTGGAAAATTGTTTGTAATATTAAAAGAGTACTTAAAGAGAATTACAGTAATAAATTCGCTGTCATTATTGTTTTCTTTTGATTTTTAAAATGGTAAGAATGCCACGGATATTCTTGAGTGTTGTTTTTTTTTTACATAGAATCGAGATTATAAATGTTGAAAAGAAATTTTAAATGTCGTTACTCTATTGAAATAATTTACAAAAAAGAACTTACCTTCGATCATTTGGTCAAGCATTCCATAAATGTGCGAAGTTGCCTCGTCTGTCATGACCCATCCACCAGTAGTAATTTCTAATCGTCCTTCTGCTATCAATCTCTGAATAACTTTTTTTTTACTTGGATGTGCACTAAAAAATTGATTTTAAATTATATTTTTGTGATTTTATTACAAATTTATGGCATTTATTATGAAAATACAAATTAAATTTAGTTTGAAAATATTAAAATATATAAAACTTATTATTTAAGATGTATTTCGTGATAATAAAGCATAATAATATTACTAATTAGTGTAATAGTTTATTATTATATATAATATATTAAATGAAAAGTGTTTCACAATACATATTAAAACTTTGTTAAATGAATTATATTCTATGTAATGTATGTATGATAACGATTCTAGATATCATTTTAATAAGTGATCTAACACTTGCTTTTCTCTGATACAGATATATATAAGTGAACAGCCTACAATATTTAATAAAATATAGGTTTCAAGTTTTCAGTAATATTAGGCAAGCCGTACATTATAATATTAGCAATTAAAATTTAAAATATTCTCTTTTCTTAAAAAGTGTTCATATTGAGCTATATAGAGATTTCTTGGGATAATTTAAATACTCTTTAAAATTTATAATCCAAATATTTATTTTATAAAGTTTTTTTCTCTTTTGTCGTCTGCTATTAATTTAATATAAATTCTAATATCTAAGTTTAAATTAATTACCATAAGTACATGTAGTTATTTTGTATGTTTTAAGCCAGGGGCGTTTAGTAATTTGCAATGAATATGGTTCTGTTGCTGACATTTCTAATTATGAGTGAAATATATTATACATATTTAATTTTATATAATATTAACAATATTGATGAACATTCGATAATATATTATTAAAAATCATATTATTATTATTATTATTCTATTGAGTAGAAATTTGTAAGTAAGCAAAAGCAAGTTGACAACAATAGGCTTTTAGTGTATCATTTTTTAATTTTATAACACTGTTTTAAAATATTTTTGATTAGTTCATGAGAAAAAAACATGTTCGATTTTAAAAAATGTTTATATGATACATTATTTATGAACAAAAAAACGATAGTCTTGATTTTACTATGTTTTTACGTGGACTGTTTTGTAATATTTGTAGGACTTGGCGACACGATTGAGTGGTATAAGCTAGATTTTTTTAAAGAGGAGTATGAAACCCCTTGGTATCTTCTTAAATAGTCTATTGGCGTGATTTAAATTTCATTAAATAGTCTGCATTTAATAGATGTATAAATGTTAGTAATATAGGAATTTAGTTATAATCATATTAAAATTTTGAAATATTGAGCTGGGAATCATCCACATATATAAACAAGATAAATTAATTAAAATAGTGGAATATTTCTACAATGCTTATAAAACATTAATTAGAAATGGTTCATAGTAAAATTATTTTATTTCAAAATTATAAACAATTTTGATTCTACATTAAATAGAGTATAGAAATATTTACTGTTTTATTTTACTCTTTTTAAGTATTCATGTTTGCAAAAGTAAATGCAGTGAATTCTTGGCCGACTATAAAAATAATTTAATTGCAACTCCACTTCAATCTGAAAATAGTCTGTGTTTTGTTTTATTTTACCATCCTTCTTGTTTTTAAGTGTTGTCACTTAGTTCATTTCTAAAGGACTCATCTTTATACGTCAAAAAACTCTTTAAAAAATTATTCTTATTTATTTTATTGTTTTTTATTTTTTGGAAGTATTCTTAAAGCTTGCGATTACAATGTTTGTAAATATATTTTGTTTGAACATTAAGATTTTTGGAAAAAAATGTATCACCAATTAAATCCATCATTATAACATTAGGATGCGCTTTTTTTTAATGTGATTAAAATTAAATCCCACCTAGATAATTTCAAAATGAATATTTATACAGTTAAACTTTAGCAAAACATATCTACGCGTCTGTTAATATTCTGTGATCCATAACAATTTCCTTTTATTCTAATCGTTATGATGAAAAAGTGTACTTAGTACAAACATTATGCGATACTTGAACACAACACAAAGAGTATCAAATATAATTAAGTCAGACATGATTATGTAAACTAATTGGTTGTTTTATTTAACGAATAATACAAAGATTTTAATGACAAACATTTTTGTATAGTTTAAACACTATTAACGTGTTTTAATATCGACGTAAAATGTAATACATTTTTTATTTCATATATGCAAATCCCATAAATTTTAATAATATCAATGTTTTGAATTTATTTCATAAATAAAATAAACACGTGACACCTATAATAACTACTTATTTTATTTTCTACATAAAAATAATAAGTTGGTAGAACAAAAAATATAAATATTGGAATATCTTCTCAATAATTTTAAACTTAACTTAAATTATTAATAATATGTACAACATACATATTATTTGTATTTATGAAGATTCGAATTTCCTTTAACTTTTTAACCATTGTCGTAGAAAATAATAAATAATTTTTTTTAAATATTTATAAGATATTAACAAGTCTCTTACTGAAATTTTCGGCCAATCATACTTTAAGAATATATGCTAGTCACATGTACGTTATTATTTGTGTTATGTATATCAGTCTCTAGAGATGAGTTTTAGATAAATTGTAATATTGTCAATTTGTAATATAACGAAGTAATTGATGATTACGTGGTGCATACAAAGTATATTCGTTATGAAACTCTTGACCGAAGTGATGGAAAATAAAAAAGAAATCTCGTTTAAAATGAAAATGAAGAATTTTTTTTATGACTTTTATACGTTTTTTTTAGATATATTAGGTAGCTTTTTTATGAAAACCAAAAGGGAAAAATAATGGCAGCATATAATATTTATGTACGCCTATAAATATATATATATATATATATATTTCTGAATTATTCAAACTATGGCTAATGAAGACATTAAAAACTCTCCGTTATTTTCATAACCTTATGCCGAAGGGGAAATATGAAATTCCCTGCATCCCTTGTTATTTAAATATGATTTTCTTTTTTTTTCTGCGGTAGTAACTACTGTGTTATCATAATTTTTATCTCATTAAATCTTATAAGACAACTGTTGTCATACTTTATATTCATTAAGTGAATACAGTTTTATACTTTGCATTTAAATGCATTAATTTACTTAGGTTTATCTTAAATTAAACAGTTTAGCAGGACTACGGAATTTTTCTAAAAGATAAAATAAAAATATAGACGTTTCTGGCTTTAGTCCCAAAATAAGAGCAAACTTAACGCAACATAAATTTTGTTAGTGCAAAGATATTGACTAGTATACCAATGATTAATGTGTAATATAATATACTAATATTACAGTGTACAATCTATGCTGTACATTTACAATATCCTTAGAATAACATAATAGTACAATATTTTTTTGGAATATTGTGTTAAAAATTTGTCAATTTTGTTTTTTTTTTTAATTTGTTTACATAAAGTGTATATTAATCATTTATAAATAGTTATCGATAGAACAAATTGTAATCATTTGATTTAAGCGCATCATTTTTAATAAAAAAATTTTTAAAAAATCGGCAGACTTGACAGTTTAATGTATTCTAATTAAATTTAGTATAAGTTATCAAGTGATGATTAACAAAGCCAATATATAGTAAATAGATATCAAAGAGAACTCTATTTAATGACTTTGCTGAGTGTGAAATTTAAAAACAAAACAAAATAAAATAATAATTTTTTTTAATTCAAATACACCCCCACTGGAATGAAAAAAATGTGTTGGCAAGCCAAATTTTTCTTCCTTCATCGGAAAAAATAAATTTAAACTTGAGTCACGTTTTTGTTTTGGGTTGACCTAAAGGATTTATTTTAACCACTATAGAAAAGCAGTTTTTAACTTCCGCTTTCACATCAAACGGAACTAGCAGTCACGCGGAAGGATTCACTCCCCATCAACACATACAATTACATATCTATGTAAAGTTATGGCTGAGCTTTTAGAGTTAAGGTCATGATAATTGTATATGATACTACGATATGGTTTTAATTACTACTATTTCCTCTGATACATATGTAAAACCGTTAAACTAAAAGAGCAATGATATTAAATATTAGCCACACATTCATATTTACATTTCTTTAACGTTTTTTATGTATTAAATATGTGTAAAATATTAAAACAAACTATTCACACAATAAAGATCATCTCCTGACCATTCATAAAGCTTAAGTTTCTAAATATTTTTTCCTTAACTTATATGAAATATGTCTAAGCACTATCGGATGTAATATGTTTTTGAACTTTTACAAGTTTATTTTACAATTGAGACTAATGTATCTGTTTTTTTTTTCACTTTTACTTTATCAAACTGAAAAAAGTAAAAATCAATAATGTAGAATTTCTTTGGGTGAGAATCAAATTCACTAAAAAAAGTGTCAAATAGTTGAAAAATATAGAAATTGAATGTGTTTCTCTTATATAATAGATAACTAAAACAGAAAATTTATTGAAAACAAACCAAAGGGCTACTTAAGTGTTAATCATGCTTTTTAAAATTATATTGGAAAGTATTTTGAAATTAATAATTTACTTATATACAAGTACATAATTTCCATATTTATGTTATTATTGATATAATTAATTTAATTAATCAAAGTTTTTTCAGACATTTGTTTTTAAAACTAATGATACTAATTATCCCACTAGTACAGTGTTTATTCACAATTATGTTAAAATTATTGTTCTGATTGTGTTGTGTACCTAAATTTGTTTACATTCAAACATGGAACAAATTAATCTCTTTTATTTTTATTATTTTGGGTTAATAAGTGTTCCGACATTAATTAATAACCTATATCCATATACGAATTATTATACAACTAAAGAAAAATATGTTGAATTATTTACTTCCGTTTTTTTATACGAGATTTATTCTTTGCGATTTTGCTATATAATGTTTAAATTATAATTTTGGTCATTCAAAATCGCAATTTTTTTTATTGCCTCACTTTACTTACCTATCACGTAGTTGGTTGTAGGTAAGCTCACTCACAAGGATAATAATGACAGTAATAACAATACTATAAGTAAGTGTTATGTGTAAGTAACTTATTTATTTTACAAGCAATC